ATGGAATAATTCTCATTTTAATGCAAGTGAATTAAATAATAAAAAATTTAAATTTAACATAGAAAAATCCTCCCAATATGAGGGGAAAATCACTGAAAAGGAAAGGAAAGAAAATCTACTATTAAAAAAGAATTATAATATTACAAGAGAAAAGTGAAAATTAAAATATGCCCCGGTTGTAAAGTTTATTTGAGAATAAGCTTTTCTCAATATATATTCCTATCATGCTAAATGCCTGCCATTTGCTTTTCTCAATATATATTCCTATCATGCTAATTGCCTGCCATATGCTTTTCTTCGTTTGTAGAAGAGGCAAAGAACACCGAATTTCTTTCTTTGTGAAAGAAGAACAAAGAATATGGAATTTCTTTCTTGTGAACGAAGGGCAAAGGACAGGAATTTCTCTCTTTGTGAAAGACGCAAAGAATATCAAATTCTTTGATAGTGAAAAATGCAAAGAATTCCAAATAATATAGCGTTTTGGTCTTTCCCAGGTCCTAAAGGCAAACCCTTCTTAAGCCCCCTAACGTTTTCAACAGCACGTGACAAGCCCCAACCCCGCGGTGGGTGCAAATCACTCCTCCGCTAACTGACTTCATGACTTCCTTTGTCATCGGCTTCCGTGGCATTGCACCTGCACGTCTTAGCGCATATATATATATATATATATATATATAAAAGATAGTGTAAAGCAAGTCATTTTCTAAAAATTTTTTTGTTAGACCTATCTAAAAGCCTATATTTGAATGAATATTTTCAGAAACCGATCATCCAATTGAAAGTTTTACTTATATGGACCATTCATACGTGAGGATGACTTGCAAAACATTTTTCCTTGTGTATATTAACCTATTTTTAAGGTAGGAATGAAATTATTTTGGTTTTTTCTATAACACTTAAGTGGAACAATAAAGTTTTAAAGTATTTTTTTCTTCCAATTTTAAAGAATTTTGGCTCATAAACACTAATTATATATATAAATATATAATTTTCTTACTTACCCAATATTTAGATTGAAGGAAAAGGAGGGGAGGGAAGGAGAATTATCCTCCTATTATTATTATTATTATTATTAATTGATTATATTATAATATACATTTGGTTTCCAAATTAAGATATGAACATTTAATAAGATGAATTTATAAATTTTAAAAAGAAAAATTTGTTTTCAAATATAAGTTAAAATTTTAATTATCTTTAAAAATCAAAATTGATACACATTAACGCATCATCGTCGTGATCAACAACGCAATGGTTAATTTTTTCCTATTTTTCTCTGCTTCTAGATTTTCTCTCTTCTGCTTCTGCAAGTCGATCCTGTACGTAGGTATGTTTTAACTTCATCAATTCAACTTTCTATTTTAAAAAATTAGCTCATTATGGATCAATGGATCAAATTATTTGTAAGCTGTCATTTTTTATGATTCTGTCGTGCATTTTGATGATACTGTAGTGATGAGGGACCTCACAGCAAGTTGAATTGATGGAATAATTCTCATTTTAATGCAAGTGA